ATTTTTATTCAAATTGAAAGATAATAAATAAATTAATTTAAATTTTAAAAATTATTATAAAAAAATTTAACTCTTCTAATTTTGAACTACCTTTTAAACCTTAGTTGAGTCTCTAAATAAAAGTATTCTACATGCAAATCTATATCTATAGTTAAAATTTTGTAATTTTAGCAAATAATAATAAAGAAATTTGTATTATTAAAAAAAGTCTGTGAATTGTTAAGTTTATGAGCCTAATATAAGGCTCGTGAGCCTACTATGAGGCTCGAGCTGAGCTGAGCCTATATAAGTAAGGCTCAGCTCGACTCAAGCCTAACTTATAAACTCAGACTTGAGCTGAGCCTAAGACTTTTGGGCTCAGCTTGGCCTGAGCTTTATGAGGCTCAGCTCAGCTCGGCCTATGAGGAGCTTTACTCAAAAGTGTCAACATCTGGATCTAAAACAGATCAATATAAAAACTGATTAAGAATGTCATATTATAGTATAGAAAAAGCTATAGAAATTATAGACTCATCACAAAATAAAATAAATGAAGAAGGCACAAAAGATGAAGAAGAAGGGAAAAAAGAAATAAGAGAGCAATATAATGATAACATTATTTATAAATAAATTGTTGAAGAGGTTACAATTTATGAAAAACTTAAAAAGATTCAAAGGAAAGTCAAAGATCAGAAATTATCAAAGTTTATACAGATGGATCTTAAGAAGATCACAAAATGAAATTAGGATGGGTGATTCAATATAGGAAGGAAACAATTACACTAAATTTAGATATATTATTGAATACTTTCCATTATCAACATGTGTCGAATTAGCAACAATACTAACAACCCTACTAGTAATGCCAAAAAAAGTGACAGTACACAGATAGTATAAGAGCCATATATAGTTTAAACAAAATAATTAAAAAAGAAAAAGAGTTCATATTAAAAATACTAAAAATCCTATCATTTTACAAGTAATAGATGAAATAATAAATGAAATAAATTTAAAGATATACATGTATTTACATAAGGTAGAAGCATATACAGGAAATTTTTTTAATGAAATGACAAATTCTTTAGCAAAGATTCCATTGACACAGAAAGATTGGGAGATGATTAAAATTAATTACAAAAATAGAAATGACAGATCATATATCCCAACTTGGAACAACATACCTATGGAGATATCAGTGAAACTAATAGTAAAGAAATACAACATGATCAAGAAAAGACAGAAATAGAAGTCACAAAATCATTTTCAAGAAATTTTTGTGGACCAGAAAAGATACAAAAAATAGATTGGAGCACAACTTTTGAAACATTGCATCCAAGTAAATAACAAATGATAAAACAAGTAAAGAAGATCAAATGAAAAGAAGCTTAGCAATGAAACTTTTAAATTAAGAACTACCAGTAATGACTAGATTCAAGCACCAACTTCACATATATAAAGATCCTAAGTGTGTATTATGTTGAAGATATGAAAAGAATAATTTGCATGTATTTGAGTACAAAAGAAACAATGATAATTCTGAATATAAGCCAATGATGGAACATTATGAAAAATTAATTGAATACTTAACAGATAAAACTTGTGAGAAGACCAAAATCATATGTAAAGAAACAATAAATACAATGTTGAGATCTAAAAGTGAACTATATTTGTGGAATATAGATGATCAGGATCAAAGAACATTTTATCATGTGAACTTATATGATATAATTAGAAAACTTATATCACATTCTTTAACTGATAAGATAGCTAAAATGCTCAAAAGCAAGATAAAGGAATTACAAAACAATATTACAAATAAAATTAAAAAAAGAAAAAATAAAGTCAATAATAAGAATAATAGCAATAGTGATAATATAAATAGGGAAGGAAATAACATAGATACAGAATTAAATGAAGAAATAAATAGAAACAGAGACAACCAAACAATATTAAGAAAAGAAAAGAAGGAAATTGAAGAAGAAACAAAAAAAATAATAGAAAAATATACAGAGCATTACTTAGAAACATGGATCATGTATAGAAGTTATTATAATATTAACTATTGTTATAGATACCACCATTTTATCTGATGGAGTTTTGACCATCAGTTCTCACATTTAGCTGGGGAAATGATAGGTCAGATGGTGAATAGAAATATTTTAGTCAGTTTCAATAAATGTACAATATATAAAATAGAAAATTTACAGATTTGATATTAATAAAGTTTATTGGAGCAAGACTCTGTTGGTATTAAAAAAAAGAATATTTATTGTAAATGTATCATGTATCATTTTTAATCAATTATTTTAATAAACTTTTTTTTAAATAAATGTCACATGCACATGAATATAATTTTAGGATCATATTGTTTGTTACATGTCTAAAAAAATATTTAAAATACTGTTAGTGGTATGTAGATTTATAATAACTGAAGTTAGATTCCTAAATTCAAAGAACATTACTTATTTGACCAAGTTTATAATTCTATATTTAGAGCACATTACTTATTTGATCAATTTTGAAATAGAATATTAAAAATAAAACAAATTGCAAAATATACAAAGTAAAAAAATTGGTTAGTTGACTATTATGTACCTGCTGTAATAAATCAAATAATAGAACCCAAGATCAAATTATTACACAGGTCAAATACAAAAGATATGCTATACTGAAAAGGAATTTTGATTTTAGCTGATTTATAATATAGGATGCAATAGGACAGTTGATTGTAACTGATTTTTAGCTGATCTATAGTATAGGAATTACTATTTGGTACAGTGATTCTTTTGTATTTGACTAGTGTTAGCTATATGGAAATAGTTGCAATGATCCTTCCCTGTGATTACAATAAACATTGTATAATTCTTTATTCAAGATTAAAAAATGTGTGCTTGGATCTAAATCCAATTTCAAAATTACATTTGACTATGCTTACATTGAATATGAATACTATGATTATACCTAAGTTTTTGTTTTCGAAATAAAGAAATGCTACTAAGTACAGTATATATTGTTATAGTAGATAATCATCAATTACAATAGCGTAATGTTATTAAGTTATCAAGCCATTAATGTGGCATAAAATTGAAAAAAATTATTTTTAAATCACCTATTATCATTGATATTTTTTTTCCGATTTCCATTCCTTACTATAATAGTAGATTTGTCGTGATCGCTCTTGATGTTTTTTGGTTTTTTCAACATAATCTTGCATTTCGCCAAGTATCTTATTGATATCTATTTCAATTTTTTTTAAGAAAAAAGAAACTAATATTTAATATATTACAATTATTTGATCATCAACAAGTAATTATCAATATACATTACCATTTATCCTTTCCTCTTCATTATAATCAGAGCTTGAAAATTTCAAAGTTGTATCGGAAATTGATGTTAATTCACAAGATCGTTCATTTTGTGTTGTATTAATATTCTTTAAAATGCTTTTCACTTCCGTGAAATTGATATTTGATAATGTTAAATCTTCAAAGCTTTTTAACACAGATTTAGCATCAATAATTAATTTAGGTTTGATTGATGATTCTTTTTGTGTCATATTAATACTATTTACGACACTTTTCTCTTCTATTTTATCAAATATGAAGTATGTTAATATTATTGTTAACTTTTAAATCATCAAACTTGATAATATAATTTTGGATGTTGTACCAGTAACTGAAGTTGTTTCAGTGATTAATATTTGTTTGATGGATGCTTCTTCTTGTGTTGGACTACTGAGATTTATATCAATATTCTCTTCTGTATTATTGAAATTCAAAAATATATTAATATTCTGAAGCATTAAAATTTGGTAACATAATTTTGGATGCTATACCAAGAATTGATGTTGCTTGGATTGATGTTTCTTCATGCATTGATTTATCTTCAGGACGAACCTTAGAAGAAGATCTTTTAAATAATTTTCCAATCTATAAAGAAACAAAATTATACAAGATTATGTATATAATGTAAGAGGTAATTATATAAAAAAGAAAAAAAAGTATCAGAGGAAAGTCAAAAGAAAGCAAAACGGAGAAAAAAAATCCATTTATAAAATTGAGATCTAGTTTCTTTAAAACTTTACTTACTGAGAAAAACTTTTTTGAACCAATTAATTTCATTTTTTAGGATTTTAATAGTAAAATAACTCGAAAAAATGTATAGCTAAGCAAAAAACTTAAAGATGAAACAGTGCAACGAAGTGACGAGAAGAAAGTTGGAGTAATGGAGTAAGAGAAAGCGAAATCTATTTTTTGTAGATCGTTGTTACAACCAAACGTGATTATGAATATCTTTTCTGTACCTTGTTACGTAACGAAGCAGATCAAAAAATAAAACTGTAAGATTAAAGATGTTATGAAAATCAATTGTTCGAGATACAATTATGTAACATAAATTTAATAAAAAAACAATAAGATAGATATAATTTAGTATAATAGATTTAACAAAAAATAGTACCATTGTTGCATGGCAGGAAAGAAATTTATTATGACACTATAAATTGTTATTATCATAAATAAATATTCGTACAATTTATTAACTTAATAAATAATCAACAATTAATTATATCTAATCTATTTCATTCCTTCATTCATTCATTCGATTTATTTTGCTTCTTTAATTAATAATTCTATTTATGGGATAATTATTTATCACGTCGACATTAAATGAAACTTATTAATGGTGAACAATTGACTGTTTCAACTGATATGGATACCTATACTATTCGAGAACTTTTAGTTGTTACGGCTGGAATCTGTCTTTTCAATTTCTGCTATAATCCCTTTATGGATGTTCCCTTTATCTATTGCCACTGGTAAAACTATGTTGTCAATCGAAGATGTTATAGTGAAGATATAGTCGTGGGTAAGGATAAAAAAGAAGCATTTAAATGGTTTATAATATTGCTCAGTATAATCTAGGATTTTGTTATAATGAATTGAATTATCATAAGAAAACACTTCAATGACTTAAAAAAGCAGCAGAAAACGATCGTAATAATAGCCAATATATGCTTAGAAAATTCTTTTATATTGTAAATTCTATCTACTGGTTAAATAAAGCAAAAGAAAATGGGTGACGGATGCCAATGAATTATTAGAAGAAATAATCAATAATATGATGCAATAAACAAAATGTTAACTAAATATTTTTTTACTGTATTGTTTAAACAAAATAATATAAAAAAGTTTGAAGAAATAATTAACGTAATGTGAAAGTTAATTTTTTTTTAAATTCCGATATATAAGATGAATAATCAATGATCATCTTCAAGGAAAAAAAATAATTTTTTCTAATGAAAAACTGGACTAATTGGATTGTTCACAATGAAATTTCCCAACACTTGGGACACCGCTTTAACAAGTGTAGATGGAACATCAACAAAAGTTATAAAGATATAAAGTGAGTAGCACTAAAAATGTACAAAAAGCAACAACTATTATGGGAAAAAAATGAAAATGAATCAATAATCACGAATTTATTATTCAACATCATATTTGTGAAAAGGATTTGGATGGACTTGATGTATACATGGAGATACTAAGTTAGTGAAAAATCTAAAAACAAAGCAAATATGTCTGATCAAGACTAAAACATCTTAATCAATCGATATTAACATTGTGAAAAGCAAAATTTCAACTAGAAACACACCTGATAAACAAAGTAGATTCCGATTACGGTCAGTAAAATGGTGGTCTTGTAGATATGGAAAATAGCCTGTATACAATCTTCCCCCCTTACTTTATAACCAAAACCCTTGGTATTTATTGATAATAATATTAATGCATTGACCTTCTGAACAGATAAAGTGACACAAAGCAATCTTGATCAATTATGTACAAGTCTTATTGCAGAGAAAACAATTGATATATACACAGACAGCTCACTTACTACAAACTATAATGCTTCAAACCAACAACTAGTGAAATCTATCTCAATGGGTTGTGGTTGGGTCACACTCACAGGAAACAATAAATAAGTTAACTTCAAGGGTAAGTTGAAAACTTTCCATTATTAACGTGTGCAGAGTTAATGGCCATCACTGGTCGAAAATTGATAAATCATATACCCGATATATGCCCGATATTAGGGATGTACCATGCACATATCGGGTACCCAATGTGTGTATGATTTATCAATTTTTGACCAGTGTATTCTTTCAGCCATCCTAGAAGAGCTGCAGTAAATATTTTCACTAACAGTTAATTAGCAATAGACACTATCAATACTATATTACATAACTCTCGTCGTGTCCAGAAAAAACTTAAAAATTGGAGACTAGCATTTGCTATTAATGAGTTAATGATTGCAAGAAACATTAGCATCCGACTAAATAAAGTTGAAGCTCATTCAGGCATGGAACTAAATGAAAAAGTGGACTTATTAGCTAAAGAAGGACACATATCTAACCTATATGAACCTGACATACAAAACATTTTGCTCATTAATGCTACAGCTACATGGAAAGAACTTCCAATTGAGAAACCTATACAAGATTTTATAAAGAATCTAGATAACACAAAGTTTTCTGCTCAATGGCACTTACTTAATAGAAACCTGAATAATATTTCTGAAAAGAAAGCTCACCTGATCTGCTGGAAAACAACATGGGGTACTTCTATATTAATGCATATTGAGAACTCTCTTACTAATAGTAACCAAACTTGAGAGCAAGTATTCAATTTGAAGCTACTAAACCTAGAGTTACCTACCTTAACTTTGATGATAGAAAGATATCCTAATGTTTACGGTACAAATACTTGTGTATACTGTGATGATGCAATTGAAGATCAATTCCACTAGTTCATGTGTAAGAATAATACCATAGATATCAATACATATAGGCATTGATTAATTTCTCTTTTTATTCAGGAAACAACCACTCAAAACACATGAAAAACTGAAAACAATCTTAGACAAAAGTTTGAGAACTTAAAAGAACTGAATATCCCCTTCAACTTCATACTGAATTCTGACTCAGTTTTCATCATTGATGTAATACATGGTCTAGTTCACATCTCTATCATTAATAAAGTGCAGCAAATTACCTATGATCCTACGTTAACCAAAATAATCATTGAGAAGTCACTGAACAAGTTCAAAACTTTTGTTAAAAAAACTTTATGGAACTCCTATTGCAAAATGGTCATAGAATAGGAAAAAAGTGTGGGAATCAAATCAAACAGATGGAAAAAGAAGTATAAAATTATAATGTGAATACCTCGGTCACAATTAATAATAATAATATCATAAATATTGACAGTAATAATAACAACAATAATAACAATTATAATAATAATATACTATTTAACACATATAGACAATTAAAGAATAGCCATTTAGAGTTACTAAATGATTATATTAATATAGGAATCAAAGCCAGTTCGACTGGCCTTGGATTTATAAAATAGGTTTTGCAGCAGGGCCTTAACATGATAGTAACAACTGTTGTTGTTAGGCAGTAGGTTGCAGGCATGTCTCTTCGAGTTAGTCTGAGTCTCATCTTTGTATAATTAAGAGGATAAGTTATGTATCTGTATTATTATGTAATATAAGAGACTTTCTTTTTTTCTAATTAATGAATTTGAGGCAAGGCCTCACTGAAACTTAAAAAAAAAAAAAATTTTTTTTAATGAAAAAAGAAAAATGGATAAAAGGTAAGTATTTTTATTTTTATTTATTTTTTATTTCAATATTAATACACATATATATTTATAAATATCTACCTTTCAAAATAGAATATCTCTTAATCACTATCTATATTATTTTCAGCATTGGAATTTTTGTATTAAAGTATACATTTGGCATAAAGTGAGCAAACATAATTCCAGTATTAATCAAATTGGTGAGTGGGTTTTTTTAATATGTTGTGCTCATTTAACTGTTTATTTATTCTTTCATTCTTATATTTGTCCATTTGTTAATTTCATCTACCTGTTTATCTTATTTAATTTCATTTTTAAATTCTCATGATTATTGTTTTATGCTGTTTTTTTATGACTAGTGATGCTACTTCAACTACAAACAAGAATACTCCAATAATAGCTGAGTCACAGGTTGCCAACTCAAGTTATTAGGTATGTATTATAATAATAAGCAATATATAATTGCTTTACTTAATCTATCATAGAGTGAGCAAAAGAAAATGCGCTTCACTCGATCTACTGTAAAGCAAAGAGAGAGAATTTAATACAAAACAGTCTTTTAAATAATTTAAATAATGAAAAAAAAAAATTTAAAAAAGTATCTCAAAAAATAAAAATTTAATATAATCTAAGGAAAAACTATTTCGATCATATTATCTAGTAGTATTGTTGTCCAGTAACCAGTATTTCATTGCTCCAGCATTTTGATATTGTTCAGTATTTCTGTACCCAGTTTCCAGTGTTTCAATGTTTAATAACCAGTATTCTATAGTGTTATCTGGTATTCCAGTATTGTCCATGTCCAGTATCCAGTGATCTAGTGTTGTCCATTATTATATTATCCAGTATCTAAAATTCATATTATTTGCCAATATCTGGTGTTACAGTGTTCAGTGTGTTCCAATGTTATCAAGTGTTCCAGAGCTTGTCTAGTATTTCCGGTGTCACATATTATCCAGCGTTTTTCAGTTTTCTAGTGTTCCAATATTCCAGTGTTATATGATATTCCAGTATTCCAACATTATTCAGTAGTATATTCAATGTTCCAGATTCCAATATTATTCGGTAGTATTGTTGTTCAGTATTCAGTATTCCTGTGTTCAAGTATTCAATATCTGGCGTTCCAATGTTGTCCAGCATTCCTGTGCTCAGTTTTCAGTGCTTCAATGCTCCAGTGTTTTTTAATATTCCAGTAGAGAGAGAGAGATTCTTTTTAATGAATATTAAGTTGCTAACGTTATTCCAGTGTCCAGTATTCTGGTGTTGTCCAGTATTCAGCATTCTAGTGTTCCAGTATTGTCTAGTGTTATAATATCATATAGTGTTCCAGTGTTTCAAGTATTTCCAGTGTACCAGTGTTTTCAATATTTCACTGTTGTCTAGTATCCAGGTTGCTTCTGTGTGTCCAGTGTTTCAATGTTCCAGTGGTATCCAATATTCTAGAATTTCATTGTTTTCCAGTATTCCAGCTTTATCCAGTATTCCACATCAGGAGATTTCTTAAGGCCTAAATTTTCGAAATATTAGGTAAATTTTTTGAAAATTTATGCCTAAAAAACTCTGTTTTTGAATTTGCTTGCGATTTATGTGACTGAGCAATTTTTTAATATTTCAGAAATCTCCATAAGTGTTGTAATATACGTAATATTACGAAATATTAGGTATAAATTATTTGCAAAATTTTTACGGACGTTCAACTTTAAACGTGAATATCTCGATGAATATCAAAGCTACAGGAATGTAACATATATATTGATATGTAGCCTAGAACCAGGGATTTTGATCCATCTTAGAAATACCTCAATAGTAAATCTCTCTCTGTTACATAAATCGCGAGTGAAGTCAAAAAGAGATTTTTTGGTTAATGGTGTATATTACATAATATTACGCCTAAAAAATTATTAATGCAGTGTTGTCCAGTATCGTATTGTCTAGTATGCAGTGTTGCTCTAGTATTCAGTATTGTTCAGTGTTCCAATGTTTCCTATTCCAGTACCAATATTATCCAGTGTTATCCGGTATCTTTATCTAGTGGTATTGTTATCCAGTATCCAGTATTCCAGCGTTATCCAATATTTCAGCATTCAAGTGTGCTGATGTTGTCCAGTGTTCCAGTATTGTCCAGTATTTAGGGTGTTCAATATTATCCTGTGTTTTCTCAATTCTAAGTGTTCCGATGTTCTAATAGTGTTGTTCAGTATCCATATCAAGTATTCCAGTATTCTAGTGTTCGAATGCCATCTAGCATTCTAGTATTGTCCAGTATTCCTTTGATTCTAGTTTTATCTAATATTCCAGTATTCTAGTGTTATTCAGTCTAGTATTCCAGTATTGTCCAGTATCCAGTGTCCACTGTTCTAGTGTTGAGGTGTTCCATATTATCCAATGTTTGCAAGTATTTTAGTGTTCGAATATTTCATTGTTATCCAATATTCCAGTATTTCAATATTATCCAGTAGTATCTAAGTTGACAGCAAAGTAAATTATTGTTGCAATTTCAAAAAAAATAACTTGAAACAAAATATTGATAGAATTTTGTACACAACGTGTTCTTAATCCAGAAAATGTAATTTTTTAATTGCGAAGTATCCAGAAATTTTGTTAGGCATAAATATCTGTATTGTTCTTCATTAAGATATATTTTTACAATATTAATTAAAAGAATAATATGCATTTGAAAAAGTAAAAATTGAAATAAATCCCAAAAAACTCAAATAAATAATAATAGTAAATAATAAATAAATAACTAATTGATTTTAATACCTTGAAGGAAAATAAAATCTATCACATTAACAGTCAATTATGTTTCATTTTTTTTAGATTAGTTATATTATAATTTTTTTTTTGTTTAGAGTTAAATTATTAACTTAATCTTAATTTAATAATCATTAATAATATTGATGTTTTTATACTAGTATTCTCTTAATACTTGTATACAGTTTTTTTATTATTTTATTTTTAAATACCTTTTGTACTTTTGGAGAATAAAGTAAAATAAACGAAATAAAAAAAAAAATAAATCTAACATTATCTAATCTTTAATTTAGAAAATAAACATATAATTTTTAATGTCTGTATATCTTAAAAAAATAAATTAAAGGGAAATAATATAATATGCTACTATGTACATCTAAATTCATCAAATAAAGAATTTTTCCGTTTTTCCAATAATATTAAAACACTTACATTATAATTATCGTTTCTTGGTTTCCAGTTCACGTTAGGAATCTACAAATAGAGAGACGATGCACAGGACATAGCCCTATACACCACCATTAGCATTAAACAAACAAATAAATCGAATAAAGAGAATAAATAGAAACAACCCACCTCAAATCTAAATCTTCTAAATCTTCTATATACTCTAAAGTTTTTTTTTCCAAACCTACCTCATACTAATTTATGTGAAAAAGAAAAAAAAATGAAGTTTAATATTATAAACTCAAAGTTAGGAATTAGAAAAAATGGAAAAACGGAAAAATGAAGAAAAGTTAGAAAGAAAACAATAAAAAAAAAGAAAAAAAAAGCACATGTTTTTAGAGAGCCGCCAGAGAGAACCGTTGGAGAGTCAGACCAGAGAGAGCACTATTGTTATTATTAGAAAAATACTAATGTTGATTAGTACAGTTTCATTGAACCATTTGTACAAAGACGAAATACTTAAACAAAAGTATTTTTCATTTGATAGAGCATTTCTGCTCTACTAACAGCGTATTCAAATACTAATAGGAACTCACAAATACTAAGCAAATATACTTACAAGAAGCCACTAATATTATTATTATTTAGAAAATACTAATGTTGATTAGTAATTAGCAACTTTATAACGAAGAGGTGGGTTAGCTGGCATTCTGTGATGAGTGATGGGCAGTCTGTAAAATAAAATAAATTAATAAATTAATTGCGAAATATATCAATTAAAATAATAAAATTGTAAATGTAAATCACCAAACACATCAATTGAATAAGGCAGGGGATATGGCAAGTTCGTGAAGTGAGAACACTTTCGAAAGGATTCATAGGAAACACACCATGTAAATTTTTCATTACTTACTGTTTAAACCATTCCATTTATAAAGTTCTTCATGGAAGTCTAATATCAAGCCATCTCTTCGAGCAACCTCTTACCAACTTGTCGTTAAAGTGTTATATTCGTCTCCTTCAAAGAGATCATAAACTTTGGCATTTGAAAGTAAAATGTTTATGCGTTCCAAAATATGATGAACCAAATTTTTTCACTTTTGCAACCTTCTCTTCTTAAAACTGTTCTTAAATCTTCATTGAAGTCTTCTCCGGTATATTTGTTATGTACTTTAATTTGGAATACACTAAGTCGGTTCATCCATGCGACAAACATCGAAAATGTAGTTTTTCTGATCCACTGACACATGACCTGGCGTCTGTCTGAATATGAGATCGATACGAAGAACATCTAATGCATCAATAAATAGTACAAGTTAAAGACTTAAAGTTTCAAGTTGGTTCAAATTAGGGAAATTTTTAATCACCATGACATCATTGTTAACGTCTATCCATTTCTTTGTCAGTGAAAAGATTATTTTGGAATAATCATAACACTTCGTGGGACAAATGCGTACTAATTCTTCAAGAGATAAGGCTTCCATAGGTTTGATAATTTCATATATACACTCATCCATAGGGTCAATTCACGAGGTGAATAAATATATTGGGTATGAATGTCAGGAGCGAATCGTTTTTGTGACATAAGAGAAAATTCCACCTTTGATGCGGTAATTGATTCAGCAATAAGTTCAGAGAACAGGAACAAGTTTTAATATAGCTCTAACGAAAGTACCAAAAAAATATAATTAAGAGAAATTTCACCAGGAAAATCAACCACTAATAATGGTGCATGACGAAGAAATCTGTGGGTCTTTGACACTTTTGATCTAAATCAGTAAACGAGAAGTCCATAAAAGACGTCAACAAACCAAAGAGCAAAATTAGTACAAACAAGAAGCCACGCAATATATCAAATAAACCAAAGAAACAAAGAACAACATAAACACCTGAAACAAAGCCAAATACCAGAACTGATTCTTAATAAGCGAAATTGAGGTGCTACAAAAAGAAATGATTAAAGTAGGTGATAGGTTTCAGTATAGATTCTAGAATTAAAGCATTCTTGCAATGATAATAATTTGAAGATAATTATAGAGATAAATTTTAAGCATAGGTTCTAGATAACAATGATACTCGTTATAATTATGATAATAGTTTTTTGCAATAATAATAATTTGTTTATCATTTTCGTTTCTTGAAATGATGATTCGTTTGTTATCATATAATAATATTTCTTTGTAATATTTTTATAATAACGAGTAAACAAGTAAGAGTTATATTTACCCATAAGCTTCTTGATAGAAAATGGTATTTTGATAATAATTTTTGATAAAAAAAAAAAGTTTTTTTATGAGCAGAAATGAGATTTTTTGATGTAAATAAATAGTTTTTTTTTTGATAAAGAAATAGTTTATGAGTGGAAATATCAAAAAAAAATGGGTATTTTTTTTCATGGGAAAAAATGAAAAAAAAATCAGAAGAAGATAAGACTTTTATTTATAAGAAATGATGGCTACACAGATAAATAAAAGATCAACTTCGAATTCTGTTTTTAGATTTTGACGAAATAATTACGCAATATTATTGTAAATATGATATAAGTTTAGTTCAAATAATATATTTAATAATCTATAAGTTTCGGCTAATTTAATATTTTATCCCTTTTTTGTATATAGTTATCGATCTTTATATTGATTTATATAAAATTAATGAAAATTGTTAAAGCTTGCCAGTGGTTAGTGTCACCACCAGGCAAAATTAAATTTACGTGGGCAAGGTTAGAGTAAGGGCTTGATCAGGGAATTATGTAATTTTGCCTGGTGATGACAATCACCACCGGTGAGCTTTAGCAATTCAATTTTCATAAGATAAATAACGAATAAATAGTAAATATAAAATTTATATTTATTATAGAATATAAAATTTAATAATATAAAATAAAATAAATATAAAATTTATAATAATTAATGATTGAATTAGTTTTTCTAAAATATATTTTCTTTATAATGTGTTACATGAAAACCAATTTATATCCAAGAAATCAATTAATGAATTTTCAATAAGCCAAATTCTCAACAAAAACGAAAAATTATATTGAAAAGGTGATTAAGGAGTTGAAGGAGAAGAGAAGAAAGAAAAAAAGGAAAAGAAGTGAAGAAGGTGGGAAAGTTGTGTTTTAAGAAGAAGAAAGTAGACGATAAACACGAAGGTGGGGTCTAAAGTTGAAGGGAGAATAGGGGTAACGTGGAATTCAAAACTTGAAGAAGTTTTTTTAAATTAGAAATAATTGATGATGTAAGTGATAAATATTAAATAGCTTTTGATGAAAGTTATTGGTCGGAGTTGATGGAAATGTATTTATTCTCTCTTTTTATTTTGCCTGTAATAATAATAATAGGATAATAGGTAATGATAATTAATAATAATAATTAAATTCTAATTCAGCAATATAGGTTTCAATGGTTTCAATATATGAATATATAAGATTAAAGATGGAAAACGTGATTTAATTCCAATATGTGAATACAATGGATTCACATTAGCCATCCAATTAGTGACAAAAATTCATTTCATTTTGGTAGGAGATATAATGAGATCAATAGAATTATTGGCTTATAAAAAACCGGTGGAGTGTGGTGGTAGAAAGGCTTTAGAATTCGATGAATTAATGCTATCGAAGCATTAAATAATGATAAATTCATTGCGTTTCGAAGAAATGTTGATATTTCAGATGTTTGTTAAAAGTGAAATCGGATGTGGTGGAATTTATAATTATGGATTCTATTAGATTTAGATTGATCACATTATTATATTTATTTAATATTTATTTATATAAAATATTCATTTAGGTCATCGGCAGCAAATTTATCAGAACCAATAATATCTCGAGTATTATCCCTATCAGTCAAGAACAATCTGATAAATTAAAAAAATTACAAGATGCGTATCAAATTTATGTTGGTCTGGATATTTAGACGTAAGTGTATTCTTGTATATTATTTTATATTATTGATATCATTGTATATATTGTATTTTATGGTGTATTATTATTATGTCTAACATTCTATCATTATCATTAAATAGTTGGCGAAGTATAATAGATGAAGAAAGCGAATTACGAAATTTTATTGATGGCGACATATTTCAATAATACATTGGCATAGACTTAGTTAATTAATAATTATTATAAGTGAATCCTTATATATATTATACTCACATACAATATGTCACACATACACTACATTTTATTAAGTAGCAATTTTGGTCATTTTTTCACAAATAATAAAAATGTAATAAAAATGTAAGCTACTCGCTCATAAAAAATAATAAAGTGGATGTTTCAGCGCTCCCATGAAGGCACAGTTAGACCATTCTACTTGGAATATCCAAATCCAAAGATGTAAAAAAATGTATTTATTATTGACTTTATTATTAATTTATAAGGACAAAAGGAAATGAAAAAATAGATAAATTTATTCAAGATGCGTAACTAAATGCAGGATAATTTGAGAAAGAAATAGAGTGAATCCCTTATCACAAATTTAAAGATATTAAAGAAATTGTTAAAGGTGGTTTTGGTACAATAAGTAGATGGATGGATATACTAAGAGATGGGGTATTAAAATAAAACAGGTAAACTTGAAGTGGCATTAAAAAAATTTGATATTTTTGAAAATCCAGAATTCTTAAATGAGGTAAAATATTTTTTGAATTATTTTTTCGAATATATAATTTTAATTTATAAAAATACATAATATACAGTAGATGGCAATTCACTTGATGCGTTATTGTTTCTTGACTTTGGCCTTTTTGGCACTAATAACTCCATCCGAATTTATGTAATAGATCCCGAAACCAATAAATATATAGATATATGGATAATGGAAATCTTAGAGATCATTTAAGAAATAATTTTGATAATATTAATTGCGAAGAAATTATTTTATTAAAGTGAGTTAGCATATAGATCAAACTAATTTCACATATCTAACATTGTACATCAGGATTTTCGCTAGTTAGTTACATTTATAGTTTCATTTGTCATGATCCTATTGAAGATCTTTTTAAATGGTTAAGTGAATCGGATTCGTTCAGATCCTGCAATCGGGCATGAATTAATATATTTTGAATTTCTGATACTAACCTAATGGAGACTGGGCTATTATAATTATTAATGATAATTGATTATTTAATGGTAATAATTATTATTACTATTTGAGCGATTATTAATTATTAATTATTACCAATTATGAGAAAGAAAATGGTTTCGGCGTTTTTTTGTTTACCAATTCACCCATCGGATTTATCAAATCTGATAATTTCATATTTGCGATTGTAGGTTTATTGACTGATAAATTAATAAACATAAATGTGTCATCATAATATTTATTAATGCAATCTGTTTCGCGATCAGTTAGGTTGGAAACATTTGAAAGAATACTTTGTTTATTAATAGGATTTTGTGATGGACAAGTTTATCTTTTATATTTTGAATCAAGTTAATGCTCTAACGTGTATAAAATAATAAAATAAAAAAAATATTGTACCAAACATGCGATTGTCACAATTGTCTCATTTTAGAAGCTATAAAAGCTGCCATCATAATGAGAATAAAGATGGAATTAGTATATTACATAAAAACATTTTTCTCTTTATTTTCTAAGATCTATTCTATTCTATTATCTCCTAAATATTTAATCACTCGAATCTACATCATAAATTATCTTTCAATTTAATATTCATGAATCAAAGGTTACATCATCTTTCTTTACAATTTATTTATTGGTTCCTTACATCTCATTAGTTATTAATGAATTGAAAATTTAAAAATTAAATAAATAGTTTTATATATATAAATGTTATTTTTTTATTTTCGATATTATTTTCTGATTTTTTAATTTATGTTTTATTTAATGATAAAGAAATAATGGGAAAACGTGACATTCCGTATCACGGAATCGTAATTAATACAATGGATCAACTATGACGTAAATATGAATAATCAGAATCACGGGATTCAGGATCAGGATCAACGATCACGTAAATATAAATAACAATAAACAAAATAAACAAACGAAAACTTCTCTCTTAAACCTTTGATAAATTTAAAAAACCTTATACAAGTTATTTTAGTTAGTTTAGCTTGGAAAATGCCGTTGGATAGATATAACCGCCACTTATCCCATTCCGTTTCGCCTTATTACCGTCGCCAATCTTCTGTTCCTTCTGGTGCTTCCGCTCATACTTTATCTTCTGCTTCCGTTTCTAATACTTCTTTTGTTCCTCCTTGTGCTGCTTATCCCGTTTATACTTTATCTTCTGCTGCCGCTTCTAATACTGCTTCTTTTGTTCCTTCTATTAATACTAATTATTGTTGTTCTTATTATTGCGACCCTTCTTATTCTTATGCTATTCCCGATTTTGTTAACTCTCCTTATTTTACTCCTTCTACTTATGTTTCTCCTGCTTCTTCTATTGCTTTGCCTAGTTCTTCTTCAATTACTTCTATTTCGCCTACTTATTTTTCACCTGCTTCTTCTACTGCTTTATTAACTGCTGCTTCTTCCACTACTACTACTTCTACTAATACTTCTTCTGCTGTTCCTGTTGCCACTAACTTTGCTAATTCTGTTAATTCTTCTTCAACTACTACTACCACTACTAACTCTACTATTCCTTCTACATTTTTTGCTACTAATAATTTAAATACTTCTTCTTCCACACAAGCTAGCCCCATGAGTTCCAGAGAAAGTAGTGTGGCTCTTGGTGACAGGTAATATATGATTTATAACACATTAATAAGATTGATTATTTTGTATATTAAATTTAATAATCATTATTATTATATTAAAATAGAGTGTCACACTATGACTCCACCTCTGCCATATCAAGACATGATGCTTTGAAATCTGTCTTGACCTCTCCTGATATTGAGCTCTATCCTCCTCAGGTTGTCAATAGAGCACAATTATCTGTAATTAGACACCGTATGTAAAAATATTTATTATTTTCATTAATTTAGAATAATAATTATTTAAAATAAATATTTATTAAAATTATTTATTATAATAGGACGAAAAATAAATAACAGATATACTCCTTACATTAGTTCAGGCTTGAATGAAAGGTATGAAATTTTATTAAAATTGATGAACTTAGATTTATTTCATTATTTTAAATGAATTATAATCATTTAAATATACAAAAAGGAGTATGCAAGATCATTTGGAAATGGCAGAGGATGTATGTAAACATTACATCCCTAAACCTGCAGTGAGTCTTCATCTCTGGAACCGGCCTTCAAGAGCAGACCGGGTTGCTCTTCGAAAGAAGAATACTGGAATCAAATTTAGGGATGGGTTTATTAAGCATGCACGATACCCTGCATCTTATAAACCCTGTTATAATAACCTATACGAACAATATGCAATTGAACGATTAGGAAGAGATGACCAAAGATATGAAAAAGTGTATGTTTATTATTAATATTATTGTTATTATTGTTATTATTATTGAAATATTTATTGGATAATTTTTAATTTATCTATTTTTAGTGAATGGGAAGCTATAGGAGCAAAACGATCTGTCTTCTCCAACCCTAAATTGAATTCCAGCGAACATTTGGAAAATTGCAGAAATCGCTTGAATTTTGGAAACTCAAGAAACATAACCACCCCAAACTGAAGAAGTAGAAACAAGGATTTGCAGTATTCAAGTCTTTTATATATCTGTTTTATTATAAGCTCACTAACATTACTAATATAAGCTTTACTTTAAAAAAAAAATGTTAATTATCTACTAACAGTTTCATATTTTCAGTGTAAAGACTAATATTACCAGCTAAGTAAATTTCCATTATTTTCATTTTATGAGAATTTACTAATTCCCTTTCATAATTTCTATTTTATAGAATTTTAAGTCAACGATATATGAAATTGAATATCATGAAGCAAATGATGAATTATTTATAATATATAATGATCTTTATTTGAGATCTTTATTCTGATGCTTCAAACTTTTTTGAAATTATGAAAGTAATTATATTTGACAATTATTTGAATTTTTTTCAAATCTATCTAAGGTTGATAAAAAATAAAATGAAATTCATTTTACATTTATTATTTTATAATAAAAATCAAAATTTAATATGTTATGAACAATCCGTATATTTCAATTAGTCATAATATCCATAACTGGGTGAAAATAAAAATTAACTCAATAGATATTTTATTTACAATCTTAGTTCATATAATAAAATGATACAATTTTTTACTATTTTTATTTTACTCATTCCCAAAATCATATCCTAATTTCTTGAAAAGTGTCCACAAACAACACAATTATGCTTAAAGAGACAGAGAAAGGAGTCAAAGTTAAAATGTATACTATTCATAATATGATGTTTCGGAACAATATAAATATAATATTGTCCTATTTTGACAATTTGGACCTTCGAGATTGCTTTCGTGACAAATTAAATTATTAGATCTTTACAATCTTTACATTCAAGACGGCCAAAATACTATTACCATGGCAATTGCGAAAAGAATTATTATCAAACCGACCAAGGTAACTAATGTAAGACATTAAGGTTAGATTTCAGGTAGTGGTGACAAAAAAATCAAAGTTGCGCAACGTAATATAATTTATGATCTATGATTATGACAACATAGTTACATATGTAAAGTCTGGGTAATTGACCACGAAAAATTACATTTCCTTATTTTACAAGCTTGACTTTATTATAATGTAATTTTTTTTATTTTTAAAAAAAGAAAAATAAATAAAGATAGATTCTCTATAAATTTATTATATTATTATTAATTTTTTTACGCCATTTTTTCCCATGATGATGTCAACTTTTCATCAATTTCAAAAACTTTTTTCATTTTTAAGATTCACATATTGAAATCCACAAATTTAATTAATATCTCCCATTTTTAAAATTTTACAAAATACACATGTTATTTCCTTGTCCCGAATAATAAACTTTTCATGATTCCTGATCAACGTGAGAAGAAAAAGCCGTACCCGGAGCAAATATTATTGGCAACCCTCATGAAATTTTTATAAGTACATTCCGCATTAACCATTGGATTGAATGATAAGATGCTTATTTAATTCACTCATTCCTCTTAATACATCATCATTAAATACTCCACCTTTGGTGGATAATCCTATTAAAGTGGTAGGTTTCACGTTGTCGATTACTTCTAATAATGATTTATATTGTTTGCCATCATTTCCAGATTTGGCAAAGTATACTTAATGCATTGGAATGAATAAATTGGGAGAATCAATTGTGAATAAATGGTATAAATTGTGAATAAATAAATTGTGTGGAATAAACTTGCATGAATGAATTGTGAGAATAAATATTTTTCTAAATTGGTAGATTTCAAATGTAATTGTTGTACGGCACTTTTTTTTGCAGATCGAGATTTCCACATAAGACCGGAAGGTTTTATGTGATCCGATTTTAATAATTAAATAATTAGATTAGTTTAGTTACTGTACATAAATTATTCATTTTTTAAATAAAATGAATATGAAATTAATTGATATTTTGCTTTCATATCTAAGCAATTTAATGTACATCAGTGCAGATTTATTTATTGACTTTTTTTTTTAAAAAAAAAGAAAACTTCTACTTACATTATAAACTATAAACAACGAAAAATGACTAATTTATGCCAAGATGCAAAATGAGTATTGATGCAAACTGTACATTTAAACACATTTAACAATAAGTTTGATAAATGGATAAGTAAAAATGTCATAATAGATAAATTTATTCAAGATTTTGATAATCAAAGTAAAATAATAGAATGGAAATCTTAAGATTCAAGATGTTAAACAAATAGAAGAAGGTGGTAATTATATTTTGAAAAGGATGAATTTGTATAAATATAATAAATTACTTCAGACTATAATTTTCTATATCCCAAATTTTTTCATTAAATAAAAATAATGTATTTCTTAGACTTTAATTTATTCATTCCTATCTTTTGACCTGATCCTTCATTTGCACATTACATCATCCCTAATAAAGCCCAGGCATTCATTATACATTATAAAATTTAGATTGACTAATTAATATTATCTAATTAAAATTTGTGATTGCAAGTACTATAGATAATTTTTACAATAAACTTTAATAATAACAAAGTTTTGATGATTTTTATTGAATGTAGTCAATAAAACTTGATTCATTTGTTTGCAGGAGATGCAGCTGGTTTTTATGTTGATAATAATATTTAACTAGAAAATAGGATTTTCATATTTGGGTTATAGTTCAGTTAAATTTTTCTGATGAAATTCCTATTCACCTTGCTTATACTTATTTGATGTTTTCTTTTGTTTTTACATTTAGATGACTCTTGATATATACTAATTTTCAAATTTGAAGAATTTTATGAACTAAAATAAATTTTGCAATATAAAATTATTGTTCTCTTCAGAATTGAAGTTTGAGACAATTTTAAATATGGGAAAAACACTAGTAAATGCGATGAATTATGTATTGAACTTATAAAGCATCTGGAATTGGTTATATATCTATATAAACAACAAATTTGTCTTTTTTTTATAAGATAAGATGTTATTGTAATTATTGTTTCTAATGTATTTTTTAATTAAATAATTTTATCTTTTTTTATTTTATTTTTATTTTTATTTGAAACTAATTTCTAAATGTATTTTTGCTTGACTGCTAAAAGTTGATTTGAATCTTTTATTTTATGGGATGGTCTTGAAGTATATCATTTACTTTTATTATCTTCATAAGATATTATTTAGTTTTGGATTTTTTTTTGAATGTTCTTTGTCTTTTCACTAATGTAACTCACTTTATAATAATTAAACATGCTCTAATTATGTATAATCTCTCTTTTATTATTTTTGTTATAATTAATTTAAGAAATAAAAGGTTTTGGTTTTAGGATAAATATTATTTAAAACAAAAATGAATTACATAATCAATATTGAAATATTGATGTGAAATAAGTTTAAATATGATATATTGATTCATAATATCACAAATATTTAAAGAGAAACTTCAAGGGCAAAAAAAAATTTCTTTTCAAAATTAAAAAAATAAAATAACTAAATAATTGCAAAATGAAATTTACTTCAAAATACAAAATTAGTACAAATTAAAAATTAACGATAAATATATAAATATATAAATCAAAAAAGATTGATTTCATCATCATCTGGAAATTTTTTTAGACATATATTTACATAATTATTATGGTACCTATGGAATAATACGGAACCATTTTGAACTTAAACAGTAATATGTATATCAGCAGATATCAGTGCTAAAAGGATAAAATACATGTCTTATTGTAGCAGCGAATTAGGACTTTCATTTGTCATAGGAATACCTTAATTAAAAATTCCTACCCATTCTACAAATTGTGATTTGATCAAAAAATGGATTTTTTTGATGTTAAAATTGCAAATATTTCTGTAATTTCTCTTGGAATTTTTACATAATTTGTAGGACAGGAATAAATCTTTGATTAAAGTGTTCTTATGACCAAACAAAAGCTCTGGTTCTGAGCTACAAGATGACATGTGTTTTATCCTTTTAGCACTGATATATGCTGATTTATTATGGTTTTAAAGTCAAAATAGCCCTGTATTTATTCTGTAACATGATGTATTGCCATAATAATTATGCAAATATATCCAAAAAAACTTTCTGATGATATTATTGATATATAAAATAGATAACTTATGCTTAATCAATTTTCATATTAGATATTAAAAGTTACAACTGATATTTGGTTAATATTCATATACAAACTCATAAAAGATGAATAAAATAAAAATTTATTATGAACAAATTTCTCATTAAACAACAATTTGAAATAACAATAAAATATAAAGAATTAATTAATTAATCTAATAAATATGAGTTATTTGAGAAAGCAGCTAACTCAATAATTGATAATATATAGAATATTCAATTGTTCTTATTCAATTATAATTATTATTATATTTATTATTAGGTGGGTATTAGGTAAAGCTCTCAATTGATTTGGTTCAAACCAAAACTGAACCACCAGTTTCAGTTCAGTTCAGTTTTGGTTTGTTAAATATACAAACTTAATATTTCCATTCAGATTCAGTTCGGCCTCAGTTTATTCATTGAAACTGAACAGTTTATATATTAATTTTGATCATCATGGTTTCACCATCTATTTTTACAAAGATCTAGATTTTTTTAACTGGACTATTTTTTATATAATTATAATGACCAAGATTATAAGTGATCCTGAATCAGAAAATTCTTAAAAAAACATAGAAAATAATCTATAAGTTTCTAATTAACCATTAGTTTCAAATATATCAAGAGAAACCAGTAATAGTAATTTAACAGAAGCAAGCAGTAGCAATTTAACAGTAATTGATAATAATAGTGATAATAGCAATAATAAAAAAAAGCTTCTATCTATCAGTTTTTTACTTTAAATAAAGAAGAAAATAGATACTATTGTAATCATTGCATGCATATGCTTTCAAAATTAATTTTAATAGTTTATTATATAACTTACAAAAATTTATTTTATAATTTAAAATCAATTTTAATTAATTTTGTATCCATTTTTCATTAATAAATATATAAGACAATTGCTAAAGATCAACAGTGGTAATCGTCACCACTGGGTAGAATTAAATTTATGTGGGCCAAGTTAGGGTTAGGGTTTGATCAGGGAATTATGTAATTCTACCCAGTGGTAACAATCACCACTGGTGAGCTTTGGCAATATCCAATATATAATCTTAACTGAATTGTAATGAATAAAATATAAAAAATATAAGGGTATTGCTCATTGGTGGTGATCATATTCAAACTAAAAAAAACTGGTTCAGTTCAGTTTAAACCAGTTCAGTTTTGGCTCAGTTTCAGTTTGAGTGTTCAGTTCTCAGTTTCGAACCAAAACTGAACTAGAGATTTTGGTTCAGTTTCAGTCTTACTGCTAAACTGAACCAAACTGAACCGTTTAGGAGCTTTAGTGTTGGGAGATGATTGTTAGGGTTTTGCTGACCTATCAATCATCAAAATCTTTTTATGATTATGTGAATAATAGCAAATGACATAACATATTTTTAAAACTGATATATAATAAAAAATTTTGCAAGAAAGACCTACCTAGAAGAATTATTTTTTACTAAAAGAATAGTTGAAAAACAGAAATTCATTCAGTGTTTCTTAAGTAATAAAGTTTTCAAGTAAAATAGATTACAGTGGTGTGGAAAAAATTCCTATTGTTATTTTGATTTGCAAGAGAAATTTACATAACATGTTGAATAGTAGAATTTAAGATTAATGAAAAAAAAGTCAAAATCAAAAAAGCACATAAAAATAATCAACCCATGGCCACAACAAAAACTAAATAGCTTTTGATATATTATGAAGGAATGCTTAAAATCTGCTCACGCAGAATTTTATTATTTAGTAAGTATTGAAACTTTCTTACAAAATATGATCACTTTGTATAACTTTATATGTGCATCATTATTTCACTGATAATTAGAGAAACATTTCATTGCTATTTTAAATAACAAATATTAAAAGACAAAGGACTTAAAAATAAACATGACCTAAAAAGAAATACTCTTATTTTTTTATTTCAATATTTATAAAACAAAAACAAAAAGTGAATGCAAAATATCAAAAAGCAGATTGCTATGATTAATTATAATTATAAGAAATAGAGAAATGTCTAGAAATATACTATTTTTTTGAGTAAATAGTAATAATATATTATTTATTTATACTTCAATAATTTATAAAGCTTTTCTATTGTATACAGATCTGAAAGTCTACAATAAAAAATTCAATATATTATTTACTGTTTATTGGCCAATCCTTTTCTTCAATAATGTTAATATAAAAAAAGGTGTCTTGTTTTGATAATATTGGTTATATGTGAAATTACCAAAAATTATTCAAATACACATTAGCTTTTGAACAAAATGATTATATAAAATTAATTCATTATAATAGCAATTAAACGATAATAAAAATAGTACTAGAGTATATAAAATATGAATTATTTTTTTTATTTTTTATTTTAAAACAATATCTTACCTTGAATTGATCAATTATTCCAGTTGTAGTCATAAAGGTTATTTTATAATATTCCCATAATTGAGTCCAACTATATTTTGGTAATTAATATGTGATCAATAAAATTCTTCAAATTAAGAAAACAAAGAAAGTTATGTTGCCCATAGTTTATTTATTGGTAGATAAAATTTTTGAAAGAAATCGTAAATAATTAAATTGATACATGAAACAGCTGGGATCTCTGGAAAGGTAATGAATTGTAAATTGATCAAACAATTTTTTATTTACAAAATACTCAAGGATGTATAATTAGTTAAGCATAGATTTTTTGGAAGTATGTCAAAGAGAAGGAAGAGAACTTTTAAAATATGCTTTACTAGACCATTTGACAACTCTTAAAACTTGTAATATGTGCAGGTTAGAACCAAAACTTGATCACTATCTTAAATTCTAAAAGAATTTTTTTAAATTTTTTATTTTTCATGCGTGGTATTTTTTCTAAACTCGTCATGTATTTTAAAAATGGTTTAGTATATAAAATTGAAATAAAGTATGGATTATGTATCAACTATACAATTTTTTAAAATCTACTAGCGTGGCGGTACCCCTAAAATTTGTGAGCAGGCAGGTAAAAATTATAATTAAATAGACCCTTTTATAAAATTGTTTTTAGCAATGTATTTTTAATAAGTAAAACTGTTCTAAAGCACAAAATGTAATAAAGAAGGTCATTATCAGGTGAAATTGTAAAGATCTATATTTGGTAGAAAGGAAATTAAAAATCAAATTGAATTTTTGCTGCAATTTTAAAACAATGTAAATTCCAATAAAACGCACTATTTTTTTAAAGTAAACTTTTACCCAGTTTGAAATTCTACATTTTAAATCCTGTACAGAATATACACAATTTAGAATTACATATGCAAAAAATTGAACCTTTTTTATGTGCGGAGTTTTCAAATTTTGTTCCAGCGCACATCTCGCCCATTAAATTTCAAATACTGCTTTTACCTACACGAACAAAAAAAAAAGTCATCTTATGGAATATGCCCAGAATGTAATCGAAAATTTACTGATTATCGTATAATTCGAAATATTTCCAAAATGATTTTAATAAAAGGAGAAGTAGAAATATCACAATATCTTATTCTTTATGCTCAACAAAATGCAACTAATAGGCATGAAGTAATAGAATGGATGACTTATAATAGATTTAAAGATATTAAAGAAATAGAAAAAGGTAGATTTTTTTAAATGAAATCGATTTCTACAACTCTTTGTGTACAAACTACTTTTATAACTGATATTAAACAAACTATTGTAAAACTAATTTTATTAAAAAAAAATATGATTCTATCCATCATTTCCAAGAAAGAAATTAAATAAGTAATATTAATAAAAATATTATTAAGTTATTCATTTTCTCACCCCATCTATAAATGGAATTTTTCTAAAACAAAAATTGAAGAGGTCTTAAACAAAATGGTAAATTAGAAAATGATGTATTTTTTTTTTACAATTTTTTCATCTGATACAATTTTTTTTCCATTTAATCGATGTCAATGAAAAATTTTTATGAAAATTAAATGTGGAAAAAACTCCCGTCTACTTATTCCTACTATTCATCTATTCATTCTTCAGTCTCTTCATTCAACTATTCAAAAATTCCAATTCTTAAATTCTTAAACCAAAGATTCAAAAATGAAGGTTATGAAAGTTTCGGTTAATTTATTATTCATTCGTCACTTCAAAACCACTCCCTCATCATGATCACTACAATTATTGATTTGTTTTTTAATAAATAAAATATAATTTCTGAAACAAATTATTCTTATAGAAATCATTGTAGTAAAGATTTGGAAATATTTGATGATTGGTATTCAATTTTTTCGTTTGAAATATCCATCCCATGTTGAAAATAATTAATTTAAAAAGGAATGGTAATATAAAATATAACAAGTAATTTATTATTTTTTTAGATCATCATTAGTTGATAAATTATCAAATGAATTTGACCATTAATTAAAAAAAAATAATGTAAAAAATAAATTTAATTATTTTGATTTTATAAAAAATTTTCTTCGTCCGCTTATATATATGAAAATATCGCTTAAAAGTAACACATTTATCTTGGTCAATTTTTGATTACAAACAATCGTTCTTTTAAATCATATTTTTCACATATGAACGTATTTCAATTATTTTATTTGTGCAATCAAATTGAAAAGGTGCAATTCGTATATACATTTTTTTTTAAATTGAATATGTGAATTTCAATAAGAAATTATCTATCTCCACGATCTCCATGATCTCCAGGTATTTCAAGAATTCCCGAAATTTTAATTTCTTTTTCATTTTTTTTACGCAAAATAAAAATTATAACAAAAATACCGGCAATCACAACCACTGCACTTATACCCAATCCAATTCCAATCGTTAGACCTTTTGGTGACTTTTTTGCAGTTAGAGTATTAGTACTTGTACTCTTGCTAGTACTTGGACTACTCGTGCCAGTATTTGTACTACTCGTAACAGTATTCGAATTAGTACTTGTAAAGTTATAAACAGGAGGATTAAAACTTGTAACCCATTTATTGCTTGTAATATCATAAAGATATACTTGAGAATTATATATTTGACAATCTGAGTTATATCCTATAAAAATTAATAAAATTAGATTAAATATATTATCAATGATAACAAACAAAAAGGAAATTTCGATCTACTTACCAAATGCAATTATCATATAATTAAAATATAAATTTGCAGAATGACCATAAATAGAAGGTGGAGAATTAAATTTGGAATTACTTGGAATGGACCATTCATACGGAGATTTTTTTGTATCTAATACAGCAAGGCTTGGGCTAGCACTAGCACTATTATCCGTAAGACCCCCAAAAATAATAATATATCCATCTGTTGCTATATAAAATATTTAATTTAATTTATGTTTCAAAATAATAAATAATTCGGATACCTACTTAATACAGTAGAAAACCAATGTTTAAAGTCAATATCGTCTCCAGTGGCATTCTTAAAATTAAATATGATAAAATTTATAAGTTATTATATTACATTTATTTTGTATAAATGAATGTCTATTACATACCATATATGACCATTCAAATTTTTTGTATCAAAGAGTTTTATCTATTTGATAATAATTAATTTTTATGAAGATAATTTAAATATTTTAAAAATTCATATCTAAATTACGTACACTTTTCATTTTTACACTAGTATAATTTGTTCCACTACTTTCTTGTCCACCAATATAAACAATAACTCCATTTGATAAAAGACTAGCCGAATAGTCAAAAGTTGGTAAAGGAAGATTTTCAGATATGCTTAGAGTTTTCCAAGTCAAAGAAGAAGTATTCAATGTATTCATATCATTGTATAGGGTGTAATTATATGCGGATGGCATGGTGACATTAACTCCACCAAAAATATATATAATTCCTGAATTGTCAATTACTCCTTTAATTTGTTGCCTGTGAGGAATACTATCACCAATGATTGATGGTGTGGTCCATTTGGAAGTAGAGTAATCATATGTAAAAACTTGTTTTGAAAAATCATAATCGAGTTTACCTGCACCTTTATTTCTTATAAAGCCACCAATTAGAAATATTGTAGAATTATCTAAACTGACAATAGTAGTTGAATGCCAAGTATCAATAGGAAGATCTCCATCCGGAATCAAAGTTCATAATAAATTTGTATTATCAAATAATTTTGATAAATCCAAATAGAATAATTCATGCGTATCTGAACTTTGATTTTTAAGTCCAGCCAAAATTAAGAGTCGATCATTGATTATTACACTATCATGAGAGACTCTTCCAGGTGGGGAATAGCATAAAATTGAGTTAATTAAAAAAATAACGTAAAAAATTAATTTAAATGAGAAATACATCTTTTAATACTTGAAACAATAAGTTTTCCGAAATTATGGAATGATTTCATAAAAATTTTTTCCTTTTTTTAATTTATGAAAAACGTTAAACAGTAACACATGCATTTATCAGATAAACAATTATTTTCATAATGCTACACTATCAAATGACTTTAATAAGTCAATTGATTGATTATTCTAACCAACAAAGATTAAGAGTTGAATTATTACACTGGCTCATATGGTGCAAAAAATAAATTTAAACAATAATTTAACGATGATTTTTTGAATGATAGAATGATTTTATAGAATTTTTAAAAAGAACCCGAAAATTGAAAAAAATTAAAGAGAATAATGGAAAAAGTAAAGAGAATATTGAAAAAATTTAAGAAAATAATGGTAAAAGTAAAGAGAATAATGAAAAAAATTAAAGGGTGGACTAACGAAACAACTTCGAGAAAAAAGGAAAAAATAAATTCCGTTTTGTTATGCATTGTACAATACAAATAAAATTTGTTATTTTATTGATTTGAGTAATTGTGATAAAATAAAACATAATTAAATCTTTAATGAATTAATTGACGTCCCCTTAAAAATTTTTATAACAGATTTTCCAGCCTTTTTTGTAAATAAAATTGTTACAAAAGTACAACATTGGACGTGTTGTCCGGATACTACCATGTCAAAATACCAAAAGAAGAACGACCAGAAATGGCGTTCGGAGTAAAAGGAATGAAAATATTCCAGCATAAAGTAATGTCATTTGGAATAAAAAATGCACCAGCAATATACCAAAGAGTAATGGAAGAAATATTACGAGAATATATAGTACAAGAACAAGTACTTGTATATATAGATGACATAATAATAATGGCCAACGAAAAGAACAAAATGATTGATCAGATAAAACAAATAATAGAAACTCCAAAGGAGGAAAAAATAAAAATAAAACTTTCAAAATGCAGTTTCATGAAAAAAGAAGTTGAAATACTTGGATGGATTGCATCATATCAAAAACAAAGAATACATCCTAAAAGGATAAAAGCAATAAAAGAATGGGAATGGCCAAATAACCTGCATGGTTTCATAGGAGTCATAAACTTCCTACATGAATACATACCAAATGCAGCGAAGTGCATACAAGATATAAATAAAGTAGTAACAAAGAAAACGAAGACCGGAAAAATAATGAAGAAAGCCGAAAGAACAACGGAAGACAAAGAGGCAAAAGAAGCCTTTGAAAGGTTAAAAGAAATCATAACGGAAGAACCATTTTTGAAAAATTTAGAATGGGAAAAACCAGTAGAAATATATACCGATGCAAGTGAAACAACAGTAGGAGGAGTAATCATACAAGAAGGACGTGTGGTATGTTACCATTCAAAATCATTAGGAGAAACAGAACAACGAAGAGATATAATAACCAAGGAAGCAATGGCAATAAATGAAATGATTAAGGAAAAGTATCAGTACTTAAACTTCAACAAAGGGTATATTACACTATATTACGATAATCGACCATTGGTGGATATGATAAAAAGTGATCAGATTAACAAAAAGGAAGTACATGGGAAGGTATTCAATATATTGTGGCGGTCTGTCTTGAACAGAGTGTAAATTACGGCAATCAGTCTCACTAAATCGAATTTGTTTCACATCCTTAGCGTACGTAACACTTCGAAACTACACTATACTTTCCTGTTAGGTTTCCCTACCTAATTTCGCAGGTCGTACGTAATATTTCGCAACTGTATACTATCCCAGTCAGGCTACAACCTGATTACGCCGGTCAAGTACTACAGATATTCTTAAACAACTACACACACTGGCGTGATCTGAAGGTACGTGAGCAAGTGGAGTAAAAGTATCTTTACCAACTTGTTCCGCAAACTTTCGAATCTTAGGTTTTGACTTTATGCAGTAACCTTAATCAAGAAATTAAAGGGTTTATCAGGTTTATTACAAAATTGGTAATAGATGTATTACGGGCTGTTAACCGTTTGTTACGAAATAAAGTTTTATTAAGTTTTCCGAATTATTAAAAAATATTTTAATTATTCAAGAAATTATTATTATAACTATTATTATCATAGTATAGATTTTACCCAATTGTTATTCCTTTTTCGGTGAAGTCACGGCACAAAATACCTTCACCCAATTGGGTAGTATTGGTAAGTTCTTAAGTTCAATCAATTGCCAACAATACTCTTTTTTGGGAAGATCTTCGTGACCCGAAATGGAAAAAAAAAGGTCAAGAATTTATATACACGGTACATGATCATGACCATTTAGAAGAATAACCTCCACCCACCCAAAGAATAGCGGGTGTTTATATAATTTCTGAAATTTTTAAAAATAGTAAAAAAAAATATTTTTTTTTACTATTTAATAAATCTATTTTTATAAAAAATTTATTACTATTTTTATCGCTTAAAAATAAATATAAGCGATTTTTTATATATTTATAGTGATTATCAAAAATCATTTTCGGTAATCATTATAAAAATAAATTTACTAATGTCAATTCTAATCTTATTTATGTGTTGGATACCCCAAAAAAAAATAAATGGCCAGTTAATATAATAAAATGTATAAGAAAATTATATAATATTATTTCCCATCTATATTATTAAGTTAAAATTATAAATAATCAAATTAAAGAATGTTATAAAAAATTAAATAATTCATTTCTTAACATAATTGTAAGGTGACTTAAAAATATAAAATAATGTAAAAATAACTTTATTTAATATAAAAAATAAAAAATCAATTGTTTAAATGATAACAATAAAAATAGTACATACAGATGAATTTAATAATATAATTTGCTAATAAAAAAAAATTAAACAATTAAATAATTTAATAATAAATACAAGATTTTAATATCGAAAGAAACATAATAAATCAAAATTTATTTTATAAATAAGAAAAATACGATATAAATATTACTATAATCATTAATAAATATACGAATGGATGTATTTTTCTGGAAAAAAAAAACGTAAAAATTAATTAAAGATTTTGTACATGAATAAAAAAAAAAATAAATACACATTAAAATACTTACGAATTATTTACTGGTTTTTTAAAATAAGGTCTTCTCATTTTACCTACTTCCGTCCACTCTAATACCTCCATGTGTTCATTATTAAGGGGTAATGTTTTGCCTTTAGTTGTTATAAACGAATATGAGCTTTTGGTAAAATCTAACGAAGGTAATAAATCATTAGAGGAATTAAAGGAGGAGGACGTAGTGTGCGATATAAGCTTTTTAATGTATTCGCCAATATGTTGAGTCGATATTTTCGCAGGTTTGGAAAAATCGAATAACTTTTAGGTGCACATAATATAAGTAAAAATTAGATTAAATATACTTTATTCTTTATTTATATAATTTATACTGTATAATACTTCATAGTTTAAAATACCTGAAACACGTGAGGCATATCTTCGTAAATTTCCAATGTAACATTAGTTGGCGTTTTAAAAGGTGATCGTTCGAATTTTCCTGCATTATATGTGGGTAATTTATATTTATCGGGTTGACTTGCTTTGAATGAGAAATAAATTGCTTCATCGCGAAGTTTTTCGCAATCTCCAGCTTGCTATTAAAAAGACACGTGAATAACATATTAATAGCATGATGAAGAAGAAAATACAATATTTCTTTTTATATCTTTTATTTCACTTTCGGTAAACTCAAACACTTACGATTAACATGGGAGGTAACCCTGCTAAACTTTCTGCACATATTGGACTAACAAACTGTATTCCCAATGCTTCATTGTTTACATACAGATGCATTCTTTCATCGCAATTAAATGATTCATCCCAAATTGGAGATTGGGTTTCTGATTTTATACGGCTCGATAATTTTTTAGCTTTTCTCTTATATTCATTAAAAGCAGGTGAAGGTGGAAGATCACCGAAACAATTTGGGATGTAATCAGTGTGATCAAAACGAGGATCCAATCTTGAAGGCATGCTATGAGTTAAGTCTACCCATGGAGACTTTTAATAAGAAAATTTATGAATTAAGTCAAAATAAAATGAAATAAAAATAAAATAAAATGGAATAAAAAATCACCTACCAAACAAACCGATCCAGCCATCATCGGTAATCCAGTATCTCTAAGTGTTAATAAGGTGGCTAAAGCTAATCCACCACCAGCACTATCCCCCATAATAACAATTCTTTTAGGATCAATTGGTTCAAAATCGGCGTCTTCTGGAGGATTGATAAGATAGAGATAGGCAGCTATCGTGTCATGTAATCCAGCTGGAAATTGACTTTGAGGGGATAATCTATAATCTATTGCTAAAAGGTAATAAAAAGGAGGGATGGATTTAATTATTTCTGTGACATGATGTGTTGATAATTATATTAATTAAAATTAACACTTGCCAAATACTAATGCATCGGTTTCTTTAGCTAAATTAGTAGTGATTGGTCGATGAGAATCTATACCACAAATGCAATAGGCACCTCCATGTAAATAAAGTATTACTCTTAAATTTTCTTGGCTTCGTTTAAATCCTTGTTTTTTAGAATAAATCCATTTGGCATTTAATACTTTATCATCATTTTCAAATTGTTTCCATTCATCATCTAATATATGTTCATACTCTTTGATAACCTGTTCAATATAAGGTTGAGCTTTTTTCCTAAATTGGTTTGGAATTACTATTTCATCTTCTTTAAATTTTTTAGATAAGAAGGGACCTTTTGCAGTGACTTTTTGAGAATATTCAACAGTTTTTGCGACACTATTTTCAAATAAAACTTTTAGGGCTACAACAAATATATGGAATTGAATATCCCAGGATGGTTGTGGAGGACCTTTTACAAAATGATTAACGATAGTGGAAGCAAAAGTCGGAGTAAGGGAAAATAAAATTTTAAACGATTCTAACATATTTTTTAATTAATTTAAACAAATAATAAAATATATATATCAAAGAAATTTGGAATTAATTTTATTCTTCATTTATTGAAATTTTATTTCGATAAAAAAAAAAAGTTTATTTTATATTAAGAATTTGTATAATATGTGTATCTTTGTTTTATCCATTAAAAGAAAGATCTTATACGAAGCTTGATTAGATAAGTAATTATATAAATCGGGGAAAGTCAATTTTTTGTATAACCTTTATTTTTTGTATTCGCACGTGCGTTTAAATTAATTACTAAATTAGAATTCTAAATAATCGAGATTATTTGGTTAATATACTATGATCTAAACATAAATAAACAAATATGCAATATATGCATAAAGCAGGTACACCGAAGTATAACTACTTTGACTAAAAACTATAATCATTTTAATGCTTGATATGTAGTAATTGCTATATAGTAATAACATTATTATTTTTTATTACTATTGTTACGAACCAAATTAAATAATTTTAATTGCTATCAATCGGAGCATTAAAAATTTTAATTTTTTTACTGAATGAATATTTTGAAAACTCAATTGTTTATAAAAGATGAAAATTAAAATATTTTAATCGATTTTTAAATATAAATAAATTTTAGTCAAAGACTGAATTTGAAGGATTTAGTTAATCTCAAACCCACAACAAAAATAATATTAATAATTATTATACATCAAATATTCAAAACCGAAAACACTTCCCAAATCATAAAAATAATCTAACTTTGATTTCTTTATGAATTTAAATCATTTTCTGAACATTGACAATGGGATCAGTTGAAATGTTAAATGGTAGAAATAGTAGTGGACGGGATTCAATAATAAAAGTAATAATAGTAATAATAATTATCATTATATGATGACAATGTACTCAAAGGAAAAAAATAGATTTTCAAAATTGGAATAGAAAATATTCGTGTGTAATAAAATTTGAAAACAAAGTATTTGTTTTTTTGAGAAAATAAGAGAGGTTGTTTTAATTAAAATTTGTCATTTTTTTTAAGTAGAAAATAATAATTATAAATTTTCTCTTATCTAATGTAAAGAAAATAACTTCATTATGAAAAAAAATGATATAAATAAATAAAAAAAATTATGTAGGTTATTATTTCTTTCTTCTCTCTTCATCTTTTCTCTCCGTACGAATATAAATATATGTACTTTGATTTATATGAATTAGATTTTATAAGAATTTAAAGAACTGAATTTTGAGGTATATAAAAGTTGATTATTTAATCTTTAATTAATACACTTTTTTTTTTTTTTTTTTTTTTTTTTTAATAAAACATTTAAACTATCATTTCTAGTAATTTTTTAATAACTTTCGAATAGAAATATGCTACAGTGAGTGGATTCCAACGACAAATTTTACACTTTCACATTTTAAAAACTTGAATTTTTTTTTTTTAGAACGGAATTATTAATTACAAAATTTGGTAAAAAAAAAAATTTTTTTTATTTATTTTCTATATTACAACCATTTCTGTTTTCGATTCTATTACTATTTCTTCCATTATTTCCATCAATTTCAGATTATATTTCTTTTTCAACATTATTTTCCTACAATTTTATTTATTTTTTAGATGTTATTGCTGTCTCCTGACTATGCTGACTTGTATATCGGGATATCCAATTATTTGTAGTCTCTAGTTATTATTTATAAAAATGTTCGTAGATCTCCGAAATTTATAAAAATCGTAATAAAAGCCGATCCTCCTTTCTTACCAGTTATTTTATACATTTTCGAACTTGTTTTCTTTCATCCTTTTGTTGTCGCGTCTAGACACATTTTTCCTATTCTTAGAAGATGACACACAAGGATGAAAGATAACGTACAAGGATGAAATACTTCGTACAAGGATGAATAATCTGTCATCTAGATGGTAGCACACTCATCCTGGTAACATTGTCATCTTACTGTCATCTCCCGTGACTTCCGCAACATTTCGAAATCCCGTGCACAACTTCTCAAAAAATTCAGACGCTGGTAGCCTCACAAATTAATAATAGAACCATTTATAATTACTATCTTATAAAAACTATTTGTAATAAAAACTATTTTTAATAAAAACTATTTTTAATAATAATGAGTGTGGTAACAATTAAACCTCAAATAATTAAAGAAACCTTTACTATTATAACAACTTCTTTAATAACTAACTCCTATACAAGCGTCTCAACCCAAACAGCTACTGAAAATAAAGCTGTCCCCGGCGGGCTGGACAAAGACTAAACAATAACAGAAATAGGAAGTTTAATAGGAATAATATTCTTTATATCAACAACACTTGGAGTATTATACAAACGACTTAAAAATAGAAAGGAAAGGTATAAAGGAGCAGATCTTGTAACGAGACAAGCAACAGAGTCTCCAAGGGCAGTAGTAAGGGGACCATCCCTGGGAATATTGGAAATGCGAAGAATAGAAGGAAAAAAGATAACTTCGAACGAATTGTTCCATAATAGTAAAACGGAAGTTTGAGGACGAGACATTTTTAAGAGAAAAAAAGATAAGGAAAAGAAAAGGATAAAGAAGAATGATCAGGTATAAATAAGCCTCGGAATGGCACAGAAGATTGCGAAAAAATGATAATAAAACGAAAAAAAATCTGTGTAAAACCACAAGATGGCACAAAAATTGCGAAAAGATAATAATAAAACAATGTAAAACTGCGTAAGACCACAAGATGGCACAGAAAATTGCGAAAAAATGATAATAAAACGAAGAAAATCTGTGTAAAACCACAAGATGGCACAAAAATTGCGAAAAGATAATAATAAAACAATGTAAAATCTGTGTAAAACCACAAGATGGCACAGAAAATTGCGAAAAGATAATAAAACAATGTAAAATCTGTGTAAGACCACAAGATGGCACAGCTTGAAATTAAGAAACACAAGAAAAAGGAATGATCTGAAAAAACAGAGGTAAAAAAGTATAAAAGAACGGTAAAAAACCCGAGTAATGAAAAAACCAACGGGTGCATGGAAAGAAAATATAACTACAAAAAAACTGCAGAAATTGTGGGAGAAATAGCCATCATTCAGATAACTGTAGAAGAAACCAAAGGAGAACTTTATCTAAGGAAAGAAAGCAAAGAGAACAGCCATACTCACCAAGAAAAAACTGGGAAATGGAAACAAAGGAAGAAGCCAAAGTAAACACCACAAGCGAAAGCGAACCTGAAATAATACTTAAAGCAGCAGCATTCCTCAAGGAAGGTACGGAACAAAGGGTAACATTTGATAGTGTTTCAAGAGTAAAACAGCAAGTGAATTCGGAAATAAAAATTTTACAGAATCTAGGAAACAAAGAGGAAACGTTTAACCTAAAAACAAAATATTATAAAATATTTAAAGAATTAACCGAAGGAGAACTAAGATGGATTACTGAAATCGAAACTATGAAAGTATATACCAAAGGAACAGATACTAATGGGTCATACCACACGGAGAATGGCAAGACATGACATGTGAAGAAAGAGGAAATAAAATGTTAGTTTGCTGTAAAAGGTAACAGACGCGAGAAATGAAAAAATAATACAACGAAGTATACCTCGAACAAATAAGGAGAGAAAAAGGAAACAAGGAGTACCATTGCTGTACGTGTAAAGAATTCATGACGCTTGAAGAATTACGAAACTGTGAAAAACAAGGAGAAGGTAACGAATAAGATATAAGTGTGAAGTATGCCAAAACGGTAAAGAAACCTGGTATGACATAAATAAATGGGATACAAATATGATCACTAATGAAATGGGCAGGAAACGAAATGAACGGTTTGTATGTAGGTGCGAGCCACACTTGATGAGGAAACATTTTGGGGAAATAGAAATACGTGGAAATATCATTGTTGCGAGTGCAAAACAACAGCAAACGAAAGCAAGCTGAAGTTTCGACTGCATGGAACAGCAAGATGCACAACATGCGAAAATGATGAAAATGAAAGGAGATTGGAAATGGGTGAAGAAGTCCCGGAAGAATGGAGAATGTATAAAGTAATAAAATGCGATGTATGTCAAAAGGATTTTGCCAGAAGAAAGAATCAAGGAGGGTAAACCTCTAATAAATGGATATGCGATCTGGAATGTCAGGTGGCATATGCAGCAGCAGTAGAATCAACTGAATATGGTCAAATAAAGGATAAAGTAAGGGAAAGAACAGAAGGATCAGGTAAAAGATTCAAAAATACAAGGGAACGGAGCAATAACAAAACAGGAATCCTAAGACTAGCAGGATTATACTTCCGGAAAGAAAAAGGCGAACTTATAACGGAGGAACAGTTAAAAGTGGCAAAGGAGCCACAAGAAGAAGACGAGTGGACCTATACTGGAAGAGAATGGACCAGAGAGGAAGAATTAACCCTACAAAGAACTCTGTAACGAATAGAAGAAAATTCAGAATTTTTAGAAGAAACAGAAAACGAAATGAGAATAGTTAGGAGAATCTGGAAGAAACGTTTGAACAAACGGGAGAAGAAATGAACTTAGAACGGTTACAAGAAATAAAATCAGGACTACGTGTAAAATGCTTAATGCCAAGGTCACAGGAAAGAGAACTTTGTGAGGATTGTGAGGAAGAAGAAGAAGAATTATGTACAATAAAGGGTAAAGGAAAGCAAAAAATGACATATGCTGAAGCAGTAAAAGGACAGATGCAAAAACAAGACGAAACAATCGAAAGAATCGAAAGAATATTGAAAAAAATGGACCAAGACGTAACATGGAAAGAACAAAACATAGCAGAAGGATCAGGAAAACATATATCATGGGTCGGTGAAGTAGAAAAAGAATTAACCAAAGAAGATCCAGAGAAATGTATAACGGAAATTGATAAGGAAAAAATAGACAGCGAAGCAACTCAGGAACTAAAAATAATCCTCGAATAAATAATACAGTAATTGAATCAGCAAAAAGAAAAACTGAGGAAGCAATAACAGAAATAAATAGCAAAAAAAAATTGAAAGGTTAAAGCAACAGTTGGAACAAAAAAAAAGAATAGTCAGCATACAAAAGAATATCATATTACAAGAAAAAGGACGATCTATATTTGAAATAATATATAAAGGGGTAAAAAGTACGCTAAATCAACAGTTCAGAAATTTCAGAAAATAGTTTTAACACGAGAAATGAAGATAAAAAACACAAAGGTACAGGTATTAATTGACACAGGAGCAAGTGACTCTTTCGCATCAGAAGAATTGATAGAAAGGATTGGAATACCCGTAATACTGGGAAAAGAAAAACTCTCGGTCGGAGGAGAAAAAAAAGAAATGACAATAAGAGGAGAAGCGGAAATTGAAGGAGAAATGCAAGGATATATCTACAGAGAAAAAGTATTAATCGAAACAGAATTACAATTTGAAATAATAATAGGCATACGAAAAATGAAAGAAGAAAAATGGGAAATAAAATTCGGACAAACAGGAACAACTATAAGAATAAAAAATGGAGAAAACGAAATTGAAGTAAATAATACAGAAAAAAGAGTGAAAAAAATCGGAATAAACCGAAATTGGGAAAACAATAAAGAGGTCGGACAAAATATTGAAAAATATTCTTAGAAGACAAGCGAATAAAAAAAGGAGAAGAATGAAAGAAACCACCAAAAGAATGGAAACCAAAACATAAATTCTGGGTACATATAACTTGTAGAATACAAATAATGGTCGCAGATGACCTAGGAAATCCAGGAAATATACGAAGGGATCTAGAAGAAGAAATAAGATGGGCCGAAGAAAATAAAGCCGAAGGAATATTTATACATATGGACCAAAAAAGACAAAATCTAAAGAATATCCAAAGGAAAAAGTAAAAGAAAATATAAAATTAATACGAGAAAAAAAAAAGATACCAATATTAATTGAAAATTCAGCACACCCTGGAGATTGGGGAACAACAATTGAAGAGCTAAAAGAATTTTGTACGCATGAAAATATGTTTATTTGTATAGACACAGAACATTGGTACGCGTCAGGACAAGACTTAGGGGCACTGGCAAAAAAGATAAAAAACAATGGAAAAATAATAAAGCTAATAATGGAAATGGAATACCACAGCATGTTGAATGTGGGGGAGGAGTCGATAGACATGAAGGACTACGAAAGTCAAAATATCCCGAAATAATATTGGAAATACTAAAAGAAACAGACATACCGATAATACTAGAAACACCTGAAGAAGATTGTGAAAATGAAATAAAAATGATAAACGGACGAGATCTAAATATGATATCATACCTAAGGAAACTACTACAGGAAGAACCTGAAAAAATATACAGTCCATTTAATGAAGATCATGAAATAGAAAAAAAATGGAAGAACAAGAAAGAATAGGAAAAAGAATGAACGAAGAAGAAAAGGAATTAACAAAGAAAATAATAAACGAACCAAATGATGAAAAGAAACGAAATATTTACTATGAATACTTAAATAGTGGATCGGAAGAACAACGGGCAGTAGCAATGAGACAAATACGAGAAAAAAAGGTAGATATGAAAATACCAAACCTACCAACTGGAATAGAAGGAGACGAACCAGATAACAATGCAGCAACAGGAAACACCGTAAACTATAGAGGAACTGCGAGCGTAGCAGACACGGCTGAAGGAAATAGATGGAGAGACGGATTACAACTAATAAACGGAAAATTAAACAATGTTAACGCAATGGGCTTCTTGCCATGATCAGACCCAAAAAGTCCAACAGGACATTGCGAAGAAGCTATGCATGTATAAGGCAATTAGCAACGGGACTGACAGGACCAGCACAAAAAGCATGGACATATCTCAGTGAAAAGGATCAACCAAGGACATTGGAAAAGTACGCATATTGGTATACCACAGAAAACGGAGAAAATCAACATATACAGTAGAATGGGGATATGAACAGAAACATTTAGAAGTAGAAATGAAGAGTCAAGAGCACATCAGGAATGGACAGAAATGAAGTACGACAAAACTAAAGAAAATATAAACATATTTAATCACGATTTCGAAACCTAATAGGAGCAGTAGAAGTAACAGCACTAGGCAACAGGACACTCGTACATCAATACAAACTAGCAATGGTGCTAAACCCAGAAATACAAAAAAGATATACAAGAATTTTGTAACCAACGAACAGCTATGGGAAATGAAGTAATGACATACGTGACATCACAACTACAAAGTCAAGGACCGGAAAGGGTGTACGCAAACCATGAACGGAAAAGAGAAATCAATAACACTTATAAAATAAACTTTGAAGGAAAGGGAGGAGGACGAATGAATGGAAGCGGAATTTTCAAAGGAGGATTCGAAGGAAGAGTAACATATTATAACTGTGGAAAGACAGGGCATATGGCAAAAGAATGCCGAGGAAAGAAATTTGTAAATACTGTAATAAGGAAGGAACCTTGAGAAGGAATGTCGAAAAAGGGATTGAAACCAAAAGGAAGGAAGAGATCGATTGCGAAAAGAAACACTAAAAATGACGTGTTATACATGTAACGGAAAGGGACACACATCAGCAAACTGTCCAAATAAAAAAGCAGAAGAACATGAAAAGAATCTACGATGCCATAAGTGTGAAGGAAATGGACACATGGCAAAAAGACATGACGATTGACTAGAACGAGAATTAAATATAATGACACGAGGATTAGTAAATGAGATACCAGATATGACAGGACGAGAATTGAATTTCATAACAACAATGGTATTAACAAAGGCATCGCAATACTTGATAAAAACCTTGGGACAAATATTGCTTACACATATAGCAAACACGGGCAAAAGGATTACACAACAATACATTGAAGACTATGTAGAAAAACACGTAACAGAACTAGTAAAAGAAATACTACACAATTATATAACACCGATAATTACAAGGGTAATTAAACACTTTATTTCAGAAACAATACACGGAAAAATTGGTAGCACATGGATACAGGACATAATGAAAAAATTAATAACACGAACAACGACAGGGAAAAGATAACGGGCGACTTGAAAACTTAGGAATAATGGACCATTTTTGGGATGCACTCCCAAAACCAGGATTCCTAAGAAAACGAAAAGTATAAAACACACAGATGTATATTTTTTAATTAAATAAATTTATTTTTTTTTATTTTGTTTTTATTTGAAACTAGTTAATTAATTTCGTATGTCTATATTTTTTATTGGTCTTGGTTAGTAATTTTATTTTATGATTTTGAAGTAAATCTTTTTATTTTAATTATCTCATAAGATTTTATTTAGTTTTGAATTCTTTTTTTGGCTGTTCAAAACTTACCTATATCTTTTCACTATTCTCTAACTATTGTAATTAGCTTCATAATAATTTAACTGGCTCTAATATGAATAATCTCCCTTTTATTGTTTTTTTAATGTAATAAACTTATAGAAAAACCAAAAGTTTTTGATTTAGGATAAACGTTATTTAAAACAAAAAAGAATTATGTAATATGGCATAATCGATATGGAAATATTGACGTAGAAATAAATTAAATATGATATCATAATTATTTCTTGATCAGGATATTGATGTAACGTTCTTCAGCAAAATATTTAAAGAAGAAACTACTTAAAGGGCGGAATAAATTTTCTTTTCAATAATACAAAAATAAAATAACTATAAAATAAAATTCTTGAAAATATAAAATTAGTACAGATTAAAAAATAAAGATAAATATTAATAGTTTAGATTTGACAGAAAAAGTCTATTCAGAGAAAATAATTTCATCATAAATTAAAATGTTATTAATATAAAACAGACGGCTTGTACGGAATCATAAAATAAAAATAAAAATTTATTATGCACAGAATTCTTATTAAACAGACTTGACTAATTTCGAGTGAATTAAATTATTTGTTATTAAAAATTGGTACAATTATAATTAATAGATTAAAAAGGTTTCAAAAAATAATAAATAAATAATAAAAGTTTTGATATGTATTTGTTCTTATTTAATTATTAATATTGATGAAATTAATATATCTACAAAATGAAACTATTAAACTTATTATAATGTTATAAACAATTCAATCAATTCAATTTATTTTTATTTAAAGATGCAAAATTATGAATAACAACAACATATATTTTAAATTCTGATATATAAATTAATTTCGCAAGAGCCACCCACATGAAAAATTATTTTTTATCTAAAAAAATGTAAAAAAAAAACTCGAAAAAGTTCACAAGTAAAAAAAGATTACAGTGAAGTTATAAGACTATAGTCATTCAAATTTCAAGAGCACATTTGTCTATAATTAGATAGTAAAATATTTTGTAATAATAGTAATAATAGGAATTAGGATAATGAAAAAATTAAAACCACAAAATCATATAAAATGATCAACCCCAACAGTCAATAATGATATTTATAATAAAAATGGTATACAACAAATACAATAATTGAAAATATTATCTACTAGAGCATTTATATTAAAATAGTAATTACTCATTACTTTTGAACTGGACAATTTTCCATATAAATAATTTATGATATTCCAATAACTGACCAAATTTTTAGTAATTAATATATGATCTGATCAATAAAATTCTTTAAGTTTTTTTAAAAAAAGAAAATTATAATGCCTGTATAGTATTTATTGAGTAGATAAATTGTTAAAAGAAATAATCAATATTATAGATAATTTAAGATAATTATATTGATATATGAACTAGCTGACCAAAATTAATTGTTACTTTTAATTATTAATCTACAAAATTTTTTGATTTCACAATATACAAATGGGTATTGACTTATTGAAATATACAAGAATTCTCTCAAACTCTGATCTAAATATTTTAGCTGAGAACTAATGAAATTTTAAATTAAGCAAATCATTTTTTATTAATTAGTAAAAATTGGTTATCTTGATGTAATTAAATCAATTATTATTAAATGCATATAAATATTTAGTATTTCTTAATTGTAAATGTACAAGACTAAAAATTCAAGCTAATAAAGCATTCCTGAATTCTTGTTTATGATATAAAAATTTCATTGTTTGTTGTCAATTTATTTTTACTGCAAAATCAAGTCACTAATAGGATAGGAAAATATAGTATAGAATTCATTTAAATATGTTTATTCAAATGTTATTAATAATATTTTATCTATAATTTAATTTTTATTGCCTTAAATGAATACTAGCCTCCGGCACGGGGATTTTTTTGTCATTTATTTTTTTTTTCTTTTTCTTCTTTACTATTTTTATTATTGTTTTATCTTATTTCACATGAATCTATCTGTTTGTCTTTACGGTTTGATTTGTTGTTATTTGATTTTGCGTTAGAGAGTGTCTGTTTCTAATTTTGCACATTCAGTTATAGTTGTTATGACATTTATTGAGTTCATAACTGCAATGAGTTTAATAAATATGGGAGAATATTAAAATAATAATTAATATTGGTACTGTATTTCATTTTATTTTATTATTTTTACTTGTATGAATCATTTAATTTTTACAAATGAAAAATAAAAAAGAAAAATAGGTTTCTAATTCAAAACAATTATAAAATATTGAAACTTATTTATTTGTTATTTTTAATTTATTCATATATCATATTATTTTACTGTATTTTACTAAACTAATTCTACCATAAAAAAATTCGTGAGTATTTTAATTAAAGGAAAATTCATGTCTCAATCCGTTTGTAGCCAGTTAATTAAAAACAAATATCCAATTACTTTCATACCTTCTGAATAGTTTCAATTAGACTGCTTTCTTCGAAATTACGTTCCAAAGTTCCGGATGTAAAATAGAACTCTAAAAAAATTCGGGAGTATTTGTAATTAAAGAAAAATTCGTGTTTCAATCAGTTCGTAAGCCAGCTTAGCGAAAACAAATATCCAATTACTTTCATACCTTCTGAGCAGTTTTAATCAGTCGCTCAAAGGCAGTTAACTTTGACCAATGTGTTAAAATTATGCTACAAATTTCTGGAAGTGTAAAAAGATTCGTGAGTATTTGTTATTAAAGAAAAAATAATCTTTCAATCTTTTGTAAGCCAGCTTAACAAAAACAAATACAGTATTGAAGTATTTTCATACCTTCTGAACAGTTTTAATTAATCGCTCAAAGAATTTTTTTTCTCACAAATGTTATTTTTTTCAATCATACAATAAGTATAAATTTTATTAAAAGTCAAATGATGTAACCATGAAAAATTATAACAATAGTTAATACTTTTTGAGTAAGCATGTGAATTCTTTATCTTTCCCACTAAGCCGAGAGGGAATTTGATTTTCCAATTTTCACAATGTTACTGGGAAAATTTTACCATGCCAAAGCTTCTCTAGAGGCTTTTGTTACCTTTACTATCCGAAAAGAGTTAAATACAATTATTATCATTATCTTTAAGAACGTAATTGTTACAATAATCACGTTACAAAATTTAAATAAACCTCATAACTGATAACCAATAAGACCAATAAAAATGGTATCACGGAATCTGAAACCTACCAATCAAAAGTCTTTTAAAGGCGACAACAAGCGATTTACTAATAGTAAAGATGCTTTTTTATTCTGGTTTCCAGCAAAAAATTATAAATTTGAATCATCTTATTTTTGTTTAAAAAAAAAATCAATAGTTTAAATTCCTTCCATTTTGAACTATGTTTCTTTTTCCAAGAATATTTGAGTCTTGTTTTATAAATATGTAAAAAATTTTAAAATTTCTAATATATTTCATGTACAATTCTTGGGTTTAAAAAAGCAATTTTCCTTAAAATTCTCAAAAATATTCATTATCTGTGAATATCATTCATTTATTATTTAATATCACTAATTTTAGGATATAATAGATACTATATTTTTATTAAATCTTATTTAATATATATAAAAATACAGGATTGAGTTTTTCAGAAATCTCATTCAAATTTTAAATATTAATTTGGTGGGATGCATATATATATAAGAAACTCACTTTGATTCGGAAATAATAGTATTTTTGTACCTATGATAGACCAAAATGTTTAATAAATTATAAATAAGATTGTTTACCTGCAATGAATTAATGGCATGTCTTTCATACATTAAGTATTCTAGTATAATTTTATTTATTATTATTATTTTAATAACCGGAATTCCAATTAATTAATTAAATTTCAATTCTATAAACTATATAACTATATATTATATATCTGATTTAATTTTATTTATTACTATATATTATATAGTATGTAGAACAATATGAAAAAACTAACATGATACTTTTGATTTTTTGTACATATTCACTCGTTCCATTCTTTCAGTTTTATAATTGAAATTAATTTTTTCTTTTCATCCAGTTGCATACATTAAATTAATAGTATACAAAAAAGATCATGAGGTTCAAATTGTACTTGTTATTGCAAATAATTACTCTTAAATTGATTGTCAAATTAAATTTTTAAAAAAATTATTTTAATGAATACAGCTCAAAGAATTATATAGATTATTTTTGCGTGCATTTATCTTATATTTTTATTAAAAGATATTTAATAATATAAGAATTACTATTTTTAGCCATATGTTGTAGTTCTTTTTATTGGAAATGTAAGATTTATAATTTTAATTTTGTGCTGTCTATCTTCATATTGGCTTAGGCTATAATAAACAATCTTTTCCTTAAATATAGTTTTTATGAAGTGCATCATAAAACTTTTAATCTGATACTGAACTATTATATTAATTTATTCGTGAGATCCAATCTGAATACAATATTCTTGGGCAATCAAAGTTATAGCTGAGGTTGGCTCAATATCAAATTTTGATCTAAACATCTTAGCCCAATTTATACCTTTTGTTGTCTCTTGAAATGAAGAAATACAAAAATTTCAATTTTGTAACAAAAATGGGAAAAAGGATTATGAGAAGAGATTTTCTTTGCCATAAGTATTAGCATTTATAACTTTTAGTGTAACAGTAACAGTTTTCATAGAATGAATGTTACTTTCAAGTTCATTGGTCTAAGGGTTTATTTGCTAATGTACTAGTATATTTTTTTTTTAAAAAAAAGTATTTATTTAAAAGAATCAATAAATCAAGATTTTGTTCATGCAAATAATAGATTGATTAATAAATAAAA